GCGCTTACTCTATCTCAGGTATCTCGTTCTTCTAATATCAACGCTGATCTTTTAGCTCGTGCAACCAAATTGTTTGCTTCAAAAGTTTCTTTTATAAACCTTTTTCCTCCTATTTGGGCTTTTAATCGGGATATAATTTTTTGATAAATGTGTAACTGACAAAAAAAATATCTAAACTATTTTGAAGGTAACACTACAATATTGTATAGTTATTTATTTACATGTGGACCATGTATTGCACTAGAGTCAGAATCAGCGATAACAGCACAGCCGTTTATGCAATGTCTAGTTTTCATTCCTCCTATTAAAACCTCTCCCATCTGATCCACCAAATATAACGGCTCCACCTTCATTGTCGTCTGGGTTGTAATATTTTAACCACATCGAGAATATTTTCTTCTGAATCCCATCTTTTTAAGTTACAAGCCAAGTGAACAAATAAGAAGATATTAATTGAATATGTGCGGATTGTGGTATAGTATGTTAGGTTAATTAATATATTTTTTTTGGATCAAATACTTTTTTAATTAATATTTATAAAAAAACATTATAAATACATGCCAATGTCTATGATATTTTTACGTTTTTATTTTATTGAAATCATATAATATAATCATACATACATATCTCCTTAATTTATTTGCTTGTTTATTGTTCAATTTTGATAGTAATTTTTTAAAGTATTTTTGAACGTTAATGGTACATTTTTGTAAAAGTAATGGAAAATTTTCAAAAACACCTCATTTCAAATACCACTTTTTAAAAATACATACTTTTCAAACTATAAAAAAAAGTCCGTAAAAATGTTGAAATTTATCTAAACATGTGTGTAAGCTTATAAACATACACACATATTATATATCTTTCATAAAAAAACCGTATATATTCCTTATAAAAATAATTTAAAAACCTTTTAAAAAGATTATAAACCCTTTTAAAAACCTTTTAAAATTTTTGTAAACCTTATAAAAACGATTTAAAATATTTAAAAAGGTTATAAATTATTTGGATTGAATCTCTCATTAGTAGTTATTATCTAGAAGTACCTTACAAATCATATTAAAAAATTTCTAACTTTTCATATTTCAAATGGAGAATTTTTGAAAATGGATAGATAAAAAGAGTATTTTTGAAAATGGATACACCGAAAAGGGTACACGAAAAGGGTATTTGTCAAAAATTAATACTATTAATGATAAAAATGAAATTTTACAATAATATTCAAATTTTATATTTAATTTTTTCAAATAAACTAACACATACCTTAAATATGTAGTAATTAAAATCTAAATTATATGGAATGCTCGGAATCTCTTTCCGGCGCTTACTCTATCCCAGGTATCTCGTTCTTCTAATTTCAATGTTGATCTTTTAGCTCGTGGAACCAAATTGTTTGCTTCAAATGTTTCTTTTATAAACCTTTTTCCTCCTATTTGGGCTTTTAATCGGGATATAATTTTTTGATGAATGTGTAGCTAACAAAAAAAAAATCTAAACTATATTGAAAGTAAGAAATTATGTACATTTCTTATAAAGTCATAGAAAGTGCAATTCAAAAGTTTGAAAAAAAAATCCCAAAGAATGATTTTATATTTTAATCTCTTTTTATATTCCTCTTAATTTAAGTTATTTCTAGGTTTAGTTATTATTTTGTAATCTTTGTAGTACAAGATAGATAGAAAATTGAATATCAAAATTTTGTATATAGAAAATCAAGTATAAAATTTGAAGTTAATTAAAATTATAATAATCTCTATATTCTATAGTTGAATCACAAACTTAATATAATGATCATTATTCTAAATATATGTATTACAATTTTTTGGAGTTAAGAGAGAGCTAAATTTTTTTTTTGATAATTCTATAAAAAATAGTTTATTTTGTTAAAATATTACACACTTTTAAAAATAATATAATCATACATGAATATGTAAGAATATGTAAGAAATAAACAAACATTCAAAGTAAAGAATGAATATGGTTTCATTAGCTTGATTATCTTATCAATGAAATAATTTTATTATAGCCATAAATATCATTATACATTCAAAAATATAAGAAAACAATGACGATAGGAAGAAGTACATAAAAACAAAGAAGAAATAAAGTTGAAAAAAAAGTAAGATAGAATTAAACCAAATGTATATTCAAGCTCTTACAATGATATCATAATTGAATTTTAAACCCATGCAAAAAACAAAAAAAATATTTAGGATATGAGATATGCCGGAGAGGGATGTGAGAATGGTTATTTATAGGATCTAGAAGTGATGTAAAGTTACATTTCTAAAGTAACATTTAGAGGAGTTATAATTATAATTTATAGTGTGTAAACTGAAATTGAATGGAGAAAACAAATAGTCAATTCATAATTTATGTAATTTCAGTTACAATTAAGTAGTAAAATGTGTATTTAAAGTATGAATTAATGTATATGATTAAATGCGTTAAATTTTAGGTTGAATTTAATATAAATATTATATTTTAAAAAAATACCAAATGGATCAATAAGGAGAGAGTGAAACCTTACTTTTATATATACTAGTTGTTGACTCGCGCTACGCGCGGGAAGTTTATAATTATATATATATATATATATATATATATTTTCAACGCTTTAGTTTTTTATTTGCTATCATGCTTCTGTTATTCTATTTTGCATATGAGTTTTTTAAAAGTTTATATTAGTTTAGTATTTGAAATGTTTATTGTAATTTGTTTAACTGTAAATTAGGCTCAATAGTAGGTGGTACAACCTTATATTTCAGAAGCCTTCAATTCATGTAACCCTCACAATCTGTTATAAATTATCAAATTAAATTGCTCACGGTATGTATGCATTTAATAAGTTTATCTTGTATAAAAGCATCATTATAGACTGACATAGATATAATGTTTTGCATTTCTATTGGCTTTCAAATAATAGATATATTGGAGTGTGAAATTGATTTTGAAGACATATCATAACTATTTTCTCCTTAATAATAGCCTTTTTAAAGAACGTCGTTTTGTTTTACTCACCCTTGACGCCTTGTCATTGCCATCGTGTCATTTGACTAATGGTCGTTGTTTCGAGAGATGTTGAACTTGGCTAATTTCATATAATTAAGGTTGATAACTTGAATTTTTTTTGTGAGTTTATGTTGATATTTGCGTAGTATCAAAGTTTGGGTATTAAAAAACTGTCAAGATGAATGAATGAACGAATTTTCAAATAGTTTAATTTATTCATGTGCATTATTATCTTTTCAAGTTTTAATAATTTATTTTAATCACGTTTGACTACAATTCTTTCGTCATTATCTACTATGCGCTCACTGCCCTTCGACTTCTACTTTATTTTCATGTTCTATTGGCTCACATATAACGTATATTAGACTATATTGATTTTCAAAACATATTATAACTATTTCCTTTTTAATTACTATCTTTCTATACTCACATTTGGATTAAAAGCATTTGATTTAATATATTGAATATCACCTTTTTTTTCTTTCGAATCATGTTATAAACTAATATTTCACTTTTAATTTGATTTTTCATGTTTAAAATTGTATATATACAATTACATAAATGTTTTTTTATTCTACCATGAATTTAAAATTTACTTCCATTCTAAAAATCAAGTTACACATTTAAAAGTTGAATTATATGTTATAATTATAATATTGCTTTTCTTATTTTAACATCTCATTTATTTTATATAATTTATTTTTTATTTTTATTTTTTTGGTCCAACATAATTTATTTTTTATTTATCTAAATTTTTTATTAGTTATAAGCAACATAAATGTGGATTAAACATATATATAATTAATTTTAATGTAAAATTTAAAATGTTGCTTAGATGAATGATTATGTGGCATCATGAGAAGAGAGAAAAGCTAACTTTATATATATAGAAGATGACTAGCATTAGTTTTCTTAGATGTTTTAATTACCACGATGGCATAACTTCATTTCTAAAATATAATAGAGTGTTCCGTTTGGATATGGTAAGCACAATATTAATAGGTTTATTATGATATATATTAGATTAGGACCCGCATATACTCGGGGTTATAATAATACTTTAAAACCCATAAAACACTAAAAAGAATTTTTTGAAAATAAATTTAAATTATTGAATTATATGTTTTAAGCACAGTTATTTTCTGTATAATTTCCTTTTTTAATGAATGTTAAAAATAATAACTTTTATTCTTTTCTTATTAGGATTAATATTTTATTATATTAATTTTGATATTATATTTTCTATAAGATAATAATTTAGTCCTTCTATTTTTTAAGGTTTTAATTTACAATATTTTTTATATGATTTCTTATTACACGTGTTAAAATCTTATCAAGATACTTGACAAGTGCCACGATCAATTTTTTTATTAAGATTAGTAATTTGGTATATCCATTCAGGTTTTTTATATTTTATACAAAATTATATACTTTAACCACTACTCTTTTCCTGTATAATCTCTTTCCTTTTTAATCTATGTTTTAAAATAATAATTTTAATTATTTTCTTTATAGGATTAGTAATTTATTATATTATTTTCGTTATTATATTTCTATAAGATAATAATTATAATTTTACATGACTAAAAAAACGTTTATATCACAAAAAAAAAAAATAAAGTTTGCCACGCGCCTTTTAATGTCTGAACCTATGAAATAATAATATAATCTATTATTTTTAAGATTAGTAATTTATTATATTATTTTCGTTATTATTTTCTATAAGATAAGAATTATAATTTTTCATGACCAAAAAAAAAGTTTATATCAAAAATTTAATATAATTTGTTTGGGACACTCCTTTTAATGTCTTAACCGATGAGGATAATAATATATATTAACTTTAACTTTAACAAAATATCAAATCCCAACATTTTTTCAAAAAAAACAAAAGAAATCCCAAGAAACTGGCAGAAGTAAAAAGCATGTATAGTAAACGTTACCTATCATAAAACCAAAAAAATGTGACTCTCCTAATATTATATCTCTCATAAGAACTGAATCTTGCATGATGAATTAGTACTCCTAACAAGACTTATCAAATCATTCACCACCTCAAGCCTCTCTTGATCACTGATGCCTGTTGAGGAGAAAGTAACTGTCTTCAAACAATCCGTATGCTTTAGAATGTATTTAGCCACTTCTCTATCTGTTTCTTGTTTCCAATATTTGTAACCTTTCCATATAAATGTCTCAAGATGAGACAACAAACATTGAGGAACATTCTCTGGTTGCTTCCATTCTCCAATATCTTCATCATCATTGTACATCCCACCAAGGAGCTTGAGGACTTGCAACTTAGGAGAACTATGGAGCAAGAAGGAGAGTACATACCACCATGCTTTTTTGAATGTAGATAGCTCCAAATATACCAAATGCTTGAAGATGATACCAATAGGAAACTTAAACTGCAAGGGTGATACGGCTATTGAAAGGCGTTTGACAGAAGAGAGAACTATCATAAGCTTCTCGTCGGTTATCTCAAGAGCATTAGTAATGTTTACTTCCATCAGCTCTGGTAAGTTCATCATCATAGAAGACTCAAATGCATTAGTCCCTTCGATCTTCAAGAATTTCAAAGAAGGAGTATTTATCATATAGCGACATTGACGTTTCCCACCATCTCCATTATGAATTGTTAGTCTTTGTAAAGATGGCACTACAATTTTGAAAGTCCTCACGTTGATACTTGATTTTGTACGGACTACCAAATCTTGAAGGTTAGGACAGCCTGATAAAAGGTTAAGAATAGAATCCTCGTCTTTGAAGTCCACACGATGAAGGTGTAGTGTTCTAAGGGACCTCATAGAAACCAAAGAAGGGACATCCACAACAAGACGAAGCATGAGTTTCAAAGTCTCTAGTGTTTCACATGCATACAAGATTCTTGGAAGCTTAAACAAACCTCTGTTTGAGTGAACTTTGAGTACACACTCACGGACATTGCGGGTTAATGCAAGTCCTATCAAGATTCCAAAATCCATTGTATTAGTACGTTCATCTAAACGAACTATGAGATGAAATCTTTGTAGAACAGGAGCCTTATGTGAAAGCAAAGACATGCTAATACTCTCGAGGTCAAGCTTGCGATCTAAAGCATCAAACTTGAGTTCATGCATCAGTTTCCAATGAGACCGCCATTGTTTGGACAAAACACTTGTGGTTATCGCAATTTTTGTAGGAACTAAGCATAGTATCTTCTGAATCAAAGCTTCAGGCAACTCGCTAATCCTGTCCACGTTATTCGTACTTGCACTACTCTTTTTCCTATCAAAACCCAAAAAATAAACAAACAGCAAAAAATATGAGTTAGTACGTTTTTGAGTTTTGAAACTTGTTAGCTAAGAAACAAAACCCTAAAACATAGAAAGAAACTAACCTTCGTTTCATTGAAGAATCCTTTGTCTTGCTGTTCAAACCAAAAACGAAACAACAATGTAAATATATAAGTTGGTTTTTGAGTTTGGAAACTTGTTAGCTAAGAAACAAAACCCTAAAACATACAAAGAAACTAACCTTGGTTTCATTGGAGAATGCTTTGTGTTGCTGCTAAAACCTTACGTTTAAGACTCCCAAACTCAGACGGCGAAGAATGAAGAGTTATACGGCGGCACACGTAGGGCTCGACGTTAACATGTGTTGTTTTTATATTAGTGTTAATTTGGTTCGGTTTGGTTTGAATTTGGTTCGGTTTATTCGGTTTTTAGAAATTCTGGTTTATGAATTATAGTATCCTTCTTGTACCCAATTCATGTATTGAAACTACATAAAGTATAGAATTGGTGATTTGTTACGGTTTAATTAGTCTTTCTGTTTAGATTCGAATTTTTACAATTTCAATTACTCTAGTTTGTACAAACCGGACAAAAATGTGAATTTTGATTACGTCGGTTTGTACAAGTTTGGACTTTTTCCATTTCTCTTATCAACCAGTCATATTCTGCCAAATCCCAATTGCATTACTCCGGTTTGTACGAACCACATTCTCATTCTTCACTAATCACTAGCATTGTTTACTTTAATTACGCATAAAACATTTTGTATTCAAAGTAGAATTTTAAGAGATTTGTGTAGAACTTATAAATCCACTGTTATTCAAACATGAATTTTAAAAAATCTTATGAAATGCTTAACTAATGATTTCAAAATCCAACTTAAAATTCACTGTTATTGAAAACAATTTGTGGATTTGGCTTTTAATGATTTCGAAGGATTTTAGAGGATTTGGGAGGATTTCCTTAGTTAAAAATACAGAAATCCAAATCCCATGGTTTTTGGTGAGATTTGAAAAGATTTTACAAAAGTCATATGAACCCTAAAATCATCAAAATCATTTAAAAACTCAATAAAACTCAAATCTCTTAAAATTCCATTTTTGAATACACCCCTCTTTAATTACCACATGTTTATCTCATAGATATGTCATATGAGATAAGCACTTTTATTCTGATATATATAGGTCACACCAATTAATAACAAGAATAAACGATTAAACGTGTAGAACAAGTAAACAAAGGTATAACACAACATGACTGTGATGAGACCTGTTTTATATGGAGACACTGTTTGGTATTCCTCTACCAGTAACTCCCCCTTCACTGGTCGGAAACAATAAAGTGTAAGGCATCTTAACTAGACCTGTTCTGTTCTTGAGACTCTTATCATCGTTCCTCTCATCAATGTTCTTCTCAATCTCTTTCACTTTCTCACCAAACTTCTCAAACGCATCCAAAGCCTCTTTCTCAGCTGCCCATTCTTTAGAATCTCTCTGTCCCAAATACACTTCATCGCTCGAATGAGTAGATAGAATCTCAATCAAAGATATCCCAAGAAGTGTTTGAAGCTGAGCTGTTATTGTCTTTAAAAACACTTTGTCAGGGTTCTTCTCAAGTTCTTCAAACTCTGGAGTGTTTTGTTTTGGTATGAACTGTCGGCTTATGGTTGGTCGGTTTGGGAGGTATCCTGCTATTGGATACTGTCCGAAGTTAACTGCAGCATGAAGAGCAGAAGCCACCCATATGATTATGGTGCAAGACTCGATAAGCTCTTCGCGGTTTTGCATTTTAGGCCACCATGGTTCTGAATTCTTGTCTCCATGACCTTCCTCTCGCACCTCCTTCCACCAAGCTTGGAGCTCAGTGTCGTTTTGGATATCCTCATCTTTCTTGTAGTACACGTTAATGTAGTCTCTGACCCATGATTCTATAGCATACCAAACCTCAAGCCCATCAACTGCATAAGGATAGTCTTTTATCCTTAGACGTAATCCATGTGGTGCTTCTGGATCCTCAACTGCCATACCTCTGCAATTCAAAAGCCATAAAAACATTCAGTTTCTGTGGTCAGAATGTTACAAGGTTATGTAAATATGCATTACCTCTTTTTTAGTTCTGCAGGCAAAGCTTGATCAGGGAAGGTCCAGTGGTGTTTGTAGATGAAAGATGACATCTCCATTGCATATTTAGAAGGGAACACAGTGATCTCAAAGATACCTCCACCATTGATCAAGATTTGCCTTGCAAGCGCGTTAATGTTCATCGTATCACGGAAGTGAGGTTCAAGAAGCTTAAAAACCGGGTGGAGAACACTTAGCTGTCGGTTCGTGGCAATCACAAAAGGTTCAATCGATGCGTGTGTTTGCGTCCTGCAAATAACCAAAAACATTAACCTCAAATCATGTAGATAGAATTCGTTTACCCGCAAGTTAAACCATTTTGTATCCATTACCAGTGGCTAATAAGCTGATGATTTCCAGAGTCATTTACGCCAACGAAAGCCTTTGCCAATTGCCACAGCGAGTCGTAGACCCCTTCACCAGGCGTATATACTTCACTTACTGCTCCAAATTTGTCTCCATCAGGATGAGGCAAGCTCAGCTCTATCACCAATGGCTTCAAGGTCCCATCATCTTTCAGAAACAGAACTGTCCTAGACGCGTAAGTCTTGGTCGTGGTAGTGTTTATACGTCCCAAGTATGGCATCAGTGTGTCATGATGGTCTAATATGAACAACCTCTCCTTCTCCAGAGCCTGAAACAGCAAAAGAAGATTAGTTTCACTTTCACTTTCACATTGACAGATCACCACTTTATATGATTTTAGTATTTTACCTCTTCAACAGTGAGCCCATCTAAGTTATGTTCTATGTGGCTTTTGGTGATTGTACTATTCTGGTTACCATATAATTCACTCTCAAGCTTGCTCTTTGGAGGGAACTCCTGCAAGTTAACATACCATAACCCTATAAGACAACAGAACAACATAAGAGAAACTTCGTTATCGAGTGAGTTAATGGATTCACCTGAAGAAGTTGAATAACAACAGGGTTTAGCCCAGCCAACATTTCTCTAGCAAATTCCTCATCAGTTCTCCATGCAGTTTTGTCCTCTAGAAAAGATAAAAAATCAAACTTAGTTACATCGAAAAAGCCGATATTTAGATATCATCACAGGAAGGAGAAATGTGTATACCTTTGATGACCTGAGGGACTGGATACTTAAGGAACTTCTGGCCATCTGTTCTGAATATCTCTCTTAACATCTCAAGCGGTATATTCTTAACGATACTATCAATCAAAGCCTGGTTTGGTAAATCGATTCCTTCTTCGTAGATCTTAAGAACATCTTCGAAAGAATCAAACTCCTTAGGAGTATCATCAAACACAGCCTCAAGTGCAGGCTGAATAAACTGAGCAATAGCTTTCAGAGCATAAGCAAGGAAATCAGACATCTTCAAGTGTCCAAATCTCTCATCTCGCGGAACATATATATCTAAGCTTGATGTAACCGGTAACCTGCTCTCGGTTTTAGGATCTTCTTTAGTCGGTTTCCGCCCGGTTCTTCCTCTTCTTGGGTAAGGATACTCCTGTGTCCCTCCAAGTACAGGCCGCGGGTTATTTGGCGGTACACCTAAGTCATTGTAGTAAGCATAGTCATATACTCTGTCCCATTCCTTCAACTCTCCTTCACCTGTTCCTCTCAAATCCAGTAGCTCTTCTTCTCTATACTTAAGCAGCGTTGCAGGTGTTTCGTGTGGAAGATAAGTCTGAAAAAACAGAAGTAAAACATTATAAAGAAAACATTTTAAGACTAATACTAGTCAAGAAAAGAAACCGAGAAGGCGTCTACTTACCTTGTTGGAGAAGAAAACGCGGTCTTTAGTGTAGTGTTTAGAAGGGTAAATCCAAGAATTGCAGATGTAATGGACTCTGCCATGGCCTGGAACGTCTTCAAGTGTGAGACTTTTGAGAAAGAACTCACTGAAATGGCTGTTTCTAATCAAGAAAGCTCCAGGGTAACCAAAATCGCTGTCGTAATCGAACGTGACCTTAAAGGCTGATTCGCCTGCGGTTAAAGATGTGATTGTTGTGATCCAATCCTCTAAATGAGCTGCCTTGCCTAGCTTCCCCTTAGAACCGTTTGCTGCATATAACAAAGTTGTAATGACTAATGAACCATATACAAAAGATAATTATATATTATACTATTTAAAATGATTATACAATATAATATTTTGTTAAATATATGGAATATAATCATATAAAAAGTTAATAGATTCTCTTTTGGGGAGAAGAACCCGTACTCTGTTTCCTGCTCTGTGAAAGAGTAAAACAGAGCAGTTTTAAGCTTTTAAGACAACTTAATTATTATTATTTTTTTTGCTTTTAAACATAAAACACCATATATTAGACAAAATTAATATATACATTTCACAAAACTAATAGACAAAAATGACTGAAAATTACGATTATTATTATTATTACTTTTTTTGTTAAAGATATTTGCCAAATGACCTAAATAATATAATTATTTAAAAAAAAAAAAACATTATGTAGGATATTTAAAATTAGACAGAACTCGGTTTTCTTCTGTTTATTTTTTAAAATTTCTTTTTAATATTAATAAAGAAAGTATATTATCTATATAAAAAATTGAAATAATTACCATTGGAGAGACCGGAAAGAACAAAAATAAATTCATACTATTTTATAAATTAAAAAATCTATATCTGAAAAAAAAAATCATACTATTTTATATATCTAAAAATTAAACAAAATATGAGGCAAAATATTATTATATAAATTTTTTTTTATTAAAAGGTAACTATCACTTGGTAAGACAAAAAGAGTATTTGAATTTATTCGTTTTTTTTTTTGGTCGAATGAATTTATTCGTCTTTACACAGAGAATCAATGTTTTGTTTTGGTCTTTTCAGAGAAATGAAAAAAATAAAATAAAATAAAGTTAAAAAAAAAAAGCCAAAATTATTCCCAAGCTTTCTTGTTAAAGAAGTTTCCACACATCCAAACAAACAAATTAAACAAAAATAAAAACGATATTTTTTCATACAAATTATATCACCAAAAAATTAGAAAAAATTAATTAATTTCATAGTTTCATTTTCATATACATGTATTGCCGTGTTCTCTAGTTCCACAATTCAATTCGCAATAAATGTTCAATAATAATAAAAAACAAAAAAAATATATTGGTAATCGCAAAACAGAAAATTAAAAAATAATATAATCAAAAACAGAACAAAAATGAAGAAGACAAAAAAATCAAAATTTGAAATTCGAAAAATTGAATTTGAGAGAGTTTATATTTATATTTATATTTTACCAGAGTCGGTAACATCGGAGCTGATGAGACGAAGAGTGATTTTGTTATTAAGGAACTCATGGAGACGATCGAGAAACGAAGCGTTGAAATCGTTGAAATCGAGGACGTTCTTTTTTATCAGAACCACCGTTCCTTTCACCTTCTTCGCCGTCGTCTCGTTTCCGCCGCCGGTGAACAGATCCACAAGTTCTCCGATCATCTTTTTTTTTTTTTTTATTCTCTCTCTGTTTTTGTTTTTTTAGATTTCTCTCAGTGTGGTGTGGTGTGATGTGGTGATTAGAGTTGGGTTTTGGTGGTGTATTTATAGAGGAAGTAAAGTTTATGTCGTTGTGGGCGGTTTTGTGTGTGTGTTTATTTTTTTAACTAGAAGTGGATCCGCGCTACAGCGCGGAGGAATATTCATGATTTATTCTACCGATAATAAATTATAATATATTATACTTCTTATTATTTCTACGGTAAATTATATATATGTACATGAGTTTAGATTAAACAGTAGAGAAAAAGAAGCATTTAACAACGTGATTTGATATGTAATTTTCAGTTTGATCATATTAGTAGTAGAAATAATAATATAGGTAAAAAAATTTGGTGACCAAGAAAAAAGAAATAATATTCATTTACATTCTCACAATATATGTTGTGGCGAATTAAGCTGCAAAGAATTGTGTTCAAAGAAAAAATTATTTATAAGCCGCTTTACTATGTGATTGTGAATTTTGCAAGCCAACCCGTGATTTTTTAATTAAAATAATGACATAAAAATTAATAATGATTAAGAAATAGAAATATAATTATATAAATATATATAGTTCATAAATATCGTATAAATAACTTATAAAAACTTCTTAGAAGGATATGTAATTCAGTTTGACCAATTTATTAGTATCAAAAATAATAATACAGATAAGATATTGCATTTGAAAAAATTACATAATCACAATGTATTTAATAAAATACATTTAAATAATTCCAACTAATTAGCATTATTATTAATTTTATTACTATTATTTATGTATTCATATATGCATTTTTTATATTTTATACCAAATATTTTTAAATTATGTTTTTATATATGCATTTTTATATTTTTTATATTTATAATTTTTTTTCAAAAACATTATATTTTTATTAGTTTTATATAAGAATTTCTTATACTAATTAAAAAAAATTTAAAAGATTGCGATCTTTTATATTCATAAACATATTCTCTTTATATTTTGCGTTAATATAGTTTTCTAAACTATAATAATGTAATATTAATACATATAGTACTTTCCTAAATTATATGAATTTATTATATAATTTTCGGAATAAATTTTAATTTAAAATACTTTCCAAAATTATAGGAAATTGTTGTATAATTTTCGGAGTAATGCATAATTAACATAGTTTCCTAAATTATAGGAATATATTAATGGAGGTCAACATAAAAAGGAATATATTAGTATTTCCAAAATCAGTTCAGATTTTATGGTTTATATCTATATCCGAAATTTGATCCAAATTATAAGTATCCATTTAGCAAATTTCGGGTATTTTTGCTAAATTGACCCGACCCATTTCCTATTTGTACTTCTCTTTTACTAATATAGAGATTAGATTTAATGTACTTTTAGAGAAGTTGGGTATTTTTTTTATTTATTTAGCTTATTTGATTAAGAGTAGGTATTGTTTAATTTGATTAGCTGTGGGTATTTTTTTTTTTTTGGTTCATAAGTTCATATGGTTAAGAGTAATTATTTTTTTCTCATTAATAAAAAAATTAGCTCAAAGAAGCCAATTTGGAGGATAATTATTTATATACTCGATAATGTGCGGAATGGTACGAAATTTTTGCGCCAAATAATCCGCTTTTACATACAAGTGATTAAGAGTAATTATATAAGAGAAATGCCCTCCAATAGCATTAAACCAAACTACTGTTCATATTGATCCGATGTTGTTAAACTTTTTTTTAAGAGATTATTAAATGAATTCTAGTTTTAAAAAAATTGGGGAAGTGAATAGTTTTTAACAAAACTAAACATAAACCAAAACTTGGTAAAAACGATAATTAAACGGGTTTCAAATTAAACTAAAACCATTTAGATCATTTATTTTGGTTTGGTTTGGTTTTTGAGTCGGGTTATATTTTTTTTGTTCACCTCACTTTAGCAGTTTTGGGCAATTTACTATTTTTTGAGAATTTTTGAGAAATACCCCTTTTGGTGTACCCCTTTTTAAAAATATCCCTATTTTCTATCCATTTTTAAAAATACCCCTTTTCAAATATGAAATATTATAAACTTTTATATGGTTGATACGGTACATCAAGATTATCTTTACTACCGGGTGACTAAATCCAAATGTTTATAAGGTTGTAAGAGGTTCTAAACGGCATTTATAAGGTTTTATAAGGTTTTTAAAAGGTTTACAAAGTTTTTATAAGGTTTTTAAATGATTTTTAAAAGGTTATAAAATGTATTTATGAAATATATATTTATAAATTTACACACATATAAAGATAACTTGTGTCTATAAATATAAGCTTACACATATTTTTTTATAAATTTCAAATTTTATAATGACTTTTTGATAAAATTAGAAAGAGGGGTATTTTTAAAAAGTGTTATTGTAAAAGGAGTATTTTTGAAATTCCCCCCTATTTTTTTGGTATATAATATACTCCCTCTATTTTTAAAAGATTGATCTTGTAGAGTTCTTACACTTAAGAAAAAACATTTGATGTGTAGCTATAAATGCATTATTATACAAACACATTTCTCATAACTATTAGTCGATATTATTTCACCAAATTTTTAAAATTTTCAATTAATGATTCTTGAAATTTACAAATTTTAAGCACTACTTGATAAAATTTAACAAAAAATCAATTTTTAATACATAAATAAAACTTCAAAATACCAATCTTTTTGATACATAAGGAGTATATATATAACATACAATATATAATTGGTAATCTAAATATCTAAAATATATAGTATGTTATATATTAGCTAATTCATTTAAATACTAATATATTTATGAAGATAAATACATATCATAAATTTTTTGGTTTATAATTTAAATTATATAAAACAAAAAGGTCATCCCATTTTGAATTTTGTTGTTGTTTTCTTTGGCATTACATATAGAAGAAAATTGTCCAATTTTGATTATCTTCATCTATATATGTCTTGTTATATAAATTTAAAGACTTTCTTCCTTTTGTTTCCCAATTTGTATGAAGAAGACCAAATAATGGGTAGACCCAAGACCGCGTACACATCCATTGGATTGACCAAAACCTTACGATATAAGTAAAATCCGAAAATGACACTTCTAAATGTGTAATTAAACATTTACCAAAAAAAAAACAAAGACTAAGAGAAAATTTTATAATTGAAAACAAGACTGTAAATAAAATATGGTTGAACTCATTATTCACGCAGCTGTGTTAATTAATATGTGTGTGACCATTTCACGTTGACCAATACTAATAGGGATGAGTATATTACTATATTTACAGCATCGAAAATATATATATATATATATATATATATATCAGCATCAATTTTTACGTTGGACACCAAAAAAAAGAAAATAAAATAGCATCAATCTTTACAAATTAAAGTAACAAATCAATTCTTTTTTTTTTCTTTCAAAAACGAATATATGCATTTGTCGTTTGAAATTAACCAAGAACAAAATAAACTTAATCTTAATGTGGGATAAGATTACATCACAAAGATTGACAAAGTCGCCTATGCAAATATCCGGATCCGAAAATCCGATCCAAATCCGAACCCGAAACCTAAAAAATAATACATGAATGGATTCTATATCTCTAAACCCAAAAATCAAAACCCGAACCCGAACCGAACCGAAACCCAAAGAATATTCGAATACACCCATACTATAAATATATAATAATAATTTATTAATAATATATATCTATATGTAATAATCTAATGTCAAAATTATCCAATTTTTGTATATTTTGATTGATTTAAAGTTATAAACTCTTTTTAAAATAAATTTAAGTAAAAAAATATGTAGGTTTTAAATATTTTTAGTAGTTTGGACATATTTGGATACTCAAATTTTGAACTTTGAGAATTTCGGATAATCCGAACCTAAACCCGAAATAATCGATCCGAACATAAAATCTAGAAATACCCGAACGGGTTCTATATCTCTAAACCCGAAAACCCGAACGCCCAGGCCTAGTTTAAACTATCGTTGTACTAGAAATAAATATATAATAAATAATTTACTATAAATATTAAAGAAAAATTATGAAACTAATAAGGCTGTAATATATAATGATATACTGATATTAGAGAACACAATAGTTTACAGAAGAAAAAGTAAACCTAAATTATTTATGTTGATTACTATCATCAAAATTCGATAAGGTCGTTTAATCCATTGTTGTACTAGCGATGAATATATATGAATATATAACAAATAATTTACTAAAAAATAGAAAAGAAAAATTATGCAAATAAGGTTATCATATAAAATAAAATGTATGATGATATATCGTTATTATATAAAATAACAGACTATTGAAAAGAAAATTAACCTAAACTTTTAACGTAAACTATTTTCATCAAGATTTGACAATATTGTGTAATCCATCGTTATCGTAATAAATATTTAATTTTTACCGTTGTAAAAAGAAATACCAATATAAAACACATGGTGTCATAACTATTTTGCTTCTCCTTTCAGCTCTTGAACCTCAAAAAAATTAACAGCTAAATCCATCCTTAATCTTCACCTAGTTAATCAACAAGTAGCGTAGGTGCAGCAAACAGTAGTCTCTTATCTTTAAATATCTTCTCCAAATGATTTTTCTTTTCTTTGAATAATCAAAGAGACCTATACATCCTCTCCTGTTTAATATCAAAACACATGGTCTCGTCTCAAGCGTTTCTCCAAATATTACATCAAATATATATAATTTTCTCTATGACTTTGATGCCTGATCAAATTGTTTTACTTACATTACCAAAAAAAAAAATTTGTTTTACTTAAATTTTATATGAAAATATAAGAGAATTTTTGAGAAATAACCCTTTTGGTGTACCCCTTTATAAAAATACTCCTCTTTTCTATTCATTTTCAAAAATACCCCTTTTCAAATATGAAAAATTATAAACTTTTATATGGTTGATAAGGTACATCAAGATCATCATTACTACTAGGAGACTAAATCCAAATATTTAGAAGGTTTTAAAAGGTTTTAAACGGCACTTATATGATTTTTATAAGGTTTTTAA